TGTATGAGTGTCATTCGTCTAAGTGGTCTGGAAATAGATTGGGCAGCGGTCTAAGTTTTACCGGCATTTGCGCGTGTGCCTAGCCAAAAGGAGTTCCAGGCACTCAACGACCAAGTACCGCTGCCCACGTTCGGGAGACAAGATGGCCGCCACACCTCCCAAATCCCATCCAAGTAGCAGAACAACTGCAAGCATTGCTCAGGGGATTTCTCCCTCACAACACTCGCCAGAATGCAGAAAGCCTTCAACCAATTCCCAAAGTTTTTGGGTATTTTCTGATAATGGCGCCTTTTCTCTTCTTCCTACCTCTTGGCATTTTTCTTATCCTCTTCCTTCATGTCCAAGTATTCGTCCAGAGGAAGAAGAGAAAAGATCTCCAGAAATTCTCCCTTCCATATCCTCTCCTTCACCTCCGGTTTAAGGTGACACTCCAACAGCTCTGCGAAGGAGATGTGAACATACTGCCTAGCTGCGTCTGGGATGCCCCCGACCAGTTCCACCCTCTCCATGCCGTGGCTGTCCCTGCCCTTCCCCTTACAGCCATTCATCGCAATTCTTGCTCATTCCCGTGAATGTGGCCTGAACCCGGCATCCTGGAGTCCTGTTCGTGGCCCAAACTGTCCTCCAGCTTGCAACCTGAACATGCACCAGTTTCCCGACTTTCCTGTTCGTGGCCCGCACCGACCTCCTGTTCGCTTCCTGAACGTTCAGCAGACCTTCCACGCACCTGTTCCTGACCCGAGTGTTCACCAGATTCAGCCATCGTCTGTTCATGGCCCAAACATTCGCTTGTTCCCTTATGTGCCTGTTCACAGCCTCAACCTCGTTCCCAGGGGTATGCACAGACCATGTGGCCGCACGGCGACGCCAGCGACGACCTCCCGAACACCCGCCACTCACAGCAGCCTCAGATCCAAGGGCTCGCTCACCCTCTTCCTCCTGGTTGAGCCAGCACTGGGGCTCAATCATTGCAGCGTCCAGGTTCTCCTCATGGGGCAATCAGGGGACACAGAAGTCGTTGCGGTGGACCCAGAAGAAGAAGGCCCAGATGGGGCCAGGGCCTCTCCCAGACACTCCTGGAGCCAGGAAACAACTCTCTGCTGTACAGCAGCACAGACACCAGCCAGCCATCCCTCCATCCTTCAAACTGCAGCACCTGCAAGACACAAGACAGAGATACCACACAGCCTGCACAAAACAGGTAAGTGAGGATTAATTAAAATGGCCACTGATCTAAAATGGCCACTATATATACTCCTCTAACCCCAAACCCCACCTACAGTTATTCTAGCCAGTCCCTTATATTACATCCCTTCTATGCCTGTCTCTTAGCAATGTCAAGGCCCATTCCCCTTAGCTGTGCTGATCCATGGGCTACAATCTATTGTTTCCAACTGTGCCTTTTGGTTAGGTTGCTATATTGTATTTTGCAGATAACCCTCCTGTATCCTGACATCCTGACTCCTGTGATAACAATGATCTCCATGCCTGGACTGGCTCACTGGATTATTTCCCAGGAAACTGCAGTATCTTGGTCATTTCTGGCTCTCAGGACTATTATGAGTATATACAGGGCCGGTGCAAGGATTTTTGCCGTCCTAGGCAAAATAAAAATTTGCCGCCGCCCCCCCATGTGACATCACAATGCCCCACCCATATGATCTGACATATGAACTAACACCAGTGCTGCACACAGTGTGTGTTTTCATTAAAAAGCCTGCAGGTGTCACATTCTGTTCCTCGCTGCGGATCATTCTGGCAATGGCTTCTGGTATCCAGTACTCTTTTTGCTGTCTTTGCTTGGTTTTTCTGGTCTATGTCTGGTTTTCTGAGTTCATTCTTAGATTCTGTCCCTGGATTTCCCAGTCTCTTGGATTCACTTAAATGTTTGTTTTATGTTGCCACACCCGCTTGTTTCAGCTTGGACCTGCAGCAGTATTTCATCTCTCTGCCCTTTCTTGCAGGTAAGTGCTATTATGGTATAGTGTGGTTATTTTAGTATACATTAGGCAGTGTAGGACCTGCCAGATATGGGGTACATTGGCGTTGTTGGCAGGCTTGTGCAATGTATGATCATATAATGTAACTAAATCCCCATACTTGTCATAATTAGTGCTTAGCTATGTTTCCTCTTGTTTTACCTTGTATCTCTTGTCTTGTAATCCCAGTCCATGTACAGTCCTGCCCATGTAATGTTCTTGTTTTCCTCATGTCTTGTGTACATGTTCTAGGTTATGCTTTCTGTCCTGCTCCGGTTCTGGGTTCTCCTAGTTTTGTCTTGTTTTCATGTATGGTGCCTATCTCTAGTCTTGCCCTGTTCTCCTAGTTCTGTCTTGTTTTCATGCATGGTGTCTTGCTCTCCTAGTCTTGCCTTGTTTCAGTACTGGATACATCTCTGCTGCAGAGCCTCCCTATTCAGCTCCTGGGAGGTCTGCTTAATTACCTCCTCCTAGTTTCTGGGATGTGGCTCCACAAACGCTGGTGCTCAACACCAGGGGGCGTGCGGTTGCCCTGCACCAGACCCTGCTAATCCACCTCCACACTGTGACTCCTACTCTCAACATCAGGCATAATGGGTCCCGGTCCACGCACCGCCGCCCGGACAGTGTCTGGGTCCCGGGCACCGGACCTCCACCTGTGACAGCAGGGACAGGCTATAGACACCGGAACCACTTCATTAAGCTGCAGTGGTTCTGGGGACTATAGTGTCCCTTTAATGTGAGGTAAATTAGAGATTAGTGTCACTACTAATATACTAGATTGCCTACTTACAACCAGATGAGGATGGTGATGGACTCTGGCTGCAGTTTGGCTCCACTGGTCTGGTGTAGAACAGGATCTCTGGAGGCTGTTTGTAACTGTGGTCACAAAATTC